GGGGGAACAGAAGAGTGTTTAAAAGAAGTGAGAGACAGACACAAAGGCAGTGAACAAGAAAGATGAGTACTGTGGAAGTGGTCGAATATGACAAATAGTCGGGTCATAGTAGTTTGAAGTCAGAAGTCAAATGCCGATTTATAGACTTTTTTGTAGTCTGTGTATACGTTGCCGAGGGTACACCACAAGGAAGTAAGTCTATCGCACACCCCATGACAGTAATATGGTGATTTTAAACGTCAGTTTTTATGCCATTCGCTCAGTTGTGAATGAATAAATATTTGGCACATCGTTTTTTGTCCCCACTTCAAAGTCACATGTGCAATTGTTATAAAATTGATAATCAGGAAATTAAAATTTTTAAATAAGTGACTTCAAAACGCCTAGACACTAAGAAAGAAGTGAAATTTGATGAGACGAAATAAATACTGCCATTAGGATAATTAGACAAGATAAATATAGAATGTACTGACTGTATGAGATGCGATTTAATCAAATCAAAATAAATAAGCATTCCTTTGTCTTGATCTGGGCTTTAACTATCTGAAAAGTTGAATAAATAACGCTCTTGGGCTGAATAGTTATATATTAGTGGCACCGATAAGTATTAGCGCACTGCAATAACTACATTAAAATGTTATTGATTTTTTTATTATGCATGATGTTCCCCAATACAACTCCTCAATTTTTTAAGACTTTTTCGAAAATTGCTAATGGCTCAAATCAAAATAACTGTTCAAGTGACTTTCTAAAAATGTGATAAATAAATGAGACGAGGTCAGATGGATACGGAGGATGCTCTAGAACCCATCCCCAATCCCAAACAAATTTAATCTTGTCACTTTTGAAATGTCATTCCAGCTCTATGGGGCCGGCAAGTCAATGTCATATTGGTGAATTCTCCCCGTCCAATTTAACAACCTTGAAAGTCGAGATTTTAAGTTCTGATTTATTCCTACCAACTTAGTTTAAAGTAGAGTTGGGCTATAACTCTTTCTCCCGGTTTTAACCATTAGAAATAGATCACTTCACTCACATCTCCTAAAATGCGTGAAAGAAGTTTACTTAAGGTTCAACCGTGTCATGAATTAGAGGATGGGATGTGGGTTTGACTTGAAAGCAGCTTTCATATTTTTTCCACTCAATATTGCCTTAAATGGTCCACCTCTCGACCCCAATAGCAGTTTTCTTTAAAAGATTTCTATTTATAAAAATTGGTCTAACTCTATAGAGTATGCAACTAGCTTGCTTTTGTTACCGGAAATAATCAACACTACTCAATAGAGATATTATATTGTACATAGTAGATAGACTTACCTCTAAGTGGCTCACCCTGGGCAATGTATACTTATACGGAATTAAAGTCTTCTCACTTCAAACTACCATCACCACACTGTATGTCATATTCGATCAATTTCACTGTACTCACCTTACCTGTTCTCTGACTTTGTGTCTGCCTCTTTTACATCTTTGAAACATTTTGTCCCCCCCCCTTTCTCGAATTTTTTCCACTTTGATGTTCCTTCCTCTCTGTGAAGCGTGGAGTCAACTAAAGGGCTAACGATAACTATCAAAACGCCTGCCAATTGTTATAAATAAATATTGTACATTATTTGTACAAACGGATTCTTAACGGTAGCTTTCCAGACAAGGTAAAATGGCTACCTACCATCTGGAAACCAAGATTGCTACTGCTTTCAACCATTTTTGGGCTCGCATTGAATCCGTTATTGACGATGTGAATGACTACCTGAAATGTGACTTTTAAATCACCCATGTCTATTTTTGAAAAAGTGAATTGTAATTTGATACCTCATTTTTACAGAAGATGGAAATTTAAAACAAAACCGCCACAACGGTTACTCTCAATCTAATCTGGACACACACATTACTTTGGCTTGAAATGTTAGCTTACCCCAGATATCGCGAGGGCTTGCCGAATAACAGTGAAATTGTTTGACATTATGTAAACTGAATGAGCCTAGTTTAACGAAATGTCATGACCAACCACCTAATCATCTCACAACGCCAGATGAAATAATTGGGTCGGATGGTAGTTTGAACTTTGTAAATGTGTCGTAATGCGATATACTATGCAGGTTTTAACTTGCAGTCTTGCGATTCCCTAAACTTTACTCTAAGCCATTGGACATCCGTGTTCAGATATTTTCGCAATTTTAAAAAAGAAGCGCTTTCCACTGCAAAGGCCCCAATTACCTGACCGGTCCTGACCTGAAATAACCCACCATAACAACCTCCAGCTTTAATTTACAGTGTTCCAAGTGAAATGATAAAGGCATGATATCTCTCCATCTGTGCAATGATAGAACTAGCCACCATTTAGTCACTGATTAATTAATATTTAAGTGCCTTTCAAAATTGGCATAGGCTTTTAAGTCTAAAAACACATCATGAAAAGTCATCATTCCAAATTGCCCACGCGTTGCTTCCTGAACATAAGAGTCCCTATTCAGTGTTATTACTTTCGAGAGAACCCCTCCCACACAACCGTCAATTTTAAAAATTATATTCTTCTGCACACAAGTGGTACTTCTGATAAACTAAAGCTCGGTACTTTAAGTTAGAAAGTACAATGGAAAGTAGATCAGGTTTATCATTTGTAAAAAATGAACAAGATTCTGATTTCAAAAGAAAGTTCCGTTACTATACATTTACAAAATAGATAAATATCCACAATTTATCGATATACACCTTTAGGAAGTATCCCTTGAACTAAACAACAAAAGTAGTTGAAATCCAATAGCAAGGACCAAGATGACAAACGTTGATGTAATGAAAAAGAAGGATTGATTCGAAAATCGAGAAGAATGAGAAGAAGCTGTATCCATGCGATCTGCAGAAGAGACCATTGAAGTCTTATGAGGTACTTGTTGAAGATGTGCGTAATACTGTTCCAGGGTGGTTGGTGGCAGACGTTCACAAGCCTTAAGGAGTTGCTCTCGGTTAATCTCGACCTTTAATGAGTCTCGAGTCAATTCTGCTGCAGTCTGAACGACTCCAACAACCTCAGCTCCGGTGTAACCTTCCAAATGATCCCTTGCAAAGGCCTCTAACCAGGAGGAATCGAGAGCCTGAGAGGAGGTAGAACGTCTAGAAAGCTCCAACTGAAGAATTGCCTTTCGGGCTTCCACATCTGGAGGTGGAACATGAATGGTGATGTCAAAACGACCTGCTCGACGAAGGGCCTAGAAATGAGAAGAAATGAAGTTAATAGAAATAAAATATCCCCCGCTAAATATGCAACGGGCCTTCTATTTGACAAGATTTAGAACACAGACTATGACTTAGACAATCCCCCCTCCCTCCAAAGTATGCCCAAATACAATTCCGCCTTTAAACTATGTGCATATTGGCGGCTGGTAATTAAGATACCTATGACGAACAATCTAGCCTTCCCATGGTATATTGCGGGCAACCCATTTGGTCAGAGGAAGCACTAACCCTGTAACAGCTACAGATATTCAGGAAAAGCCAAGTATAGAAAATTTGTTTACTTTAAACCCGATAGATTGGAATTCACCAAAGAAGGATAAATGAGTCATGCTAAGCAGTTACCTCCCCAAAAATCTTCACTAGAAACAAGAAGGAGAAGAGGCAGAGATCTCGATTTGAACGCGGATGTAAGGAGAAAACAGAGATGTAAGACATATAACTAGCAACCTTGAAGTGCGTGGATGTTCGAAAAATGAAGCATAAATAGAAGGCAAAATCATAGAAAATATAATCACATAGAACATGTTAAAGTATTTCAATAGCGTTAAGTGTTGCTTACCCAATCTCTTTGCTAGACCAAAGCCCCAAACTGTAAAAGTAGCATGTAAAGTAATGATAAAAAATATCGAAACGATAAGACCGACTATTCTCGATTAAATAATACTGGACAATAACCACTGGACGTCGAAGGCAAGCATTTAGTACAGTATGAAATTCAAATGCACATTTAGTTCGCCCTTAACGACGAGATAAGATTCCTTGAAATGTTTTCGTTGCTATTACCATCTTCGTGATCCCCTCCGATTTACTGATTTCGATGTCAGTGGCTTGCCACAATTAAAAACTGGAAAAATTGTTCATTTAACTGTTGGCAATAATTTTAAGTAACACATTGTTGTAATATTAGTGTTATTTTAGAAACGGGACCTGAAAGAGATTAGTGGCGAAAACAGATTACTAGCTCTATTTCCCCTTTGGCATCAAACTTTTTGATTAGCATGAAAACATTAACCAATCAATCTGACCCTCAACAATTGAAGCTTTTTCACAACTGGAAAACTCTACAAGGACTATATTATCTAGTACAATTAAAGTAACTCCCCTAAACATATACTCAAAGTTGATGATTTTCATCCACACACCGATTCACCATAATGAAAGAATAAAAAGGCTCTGAATATTCGCAATAGCTTCATTTAATCAGCCAATTTATATGCCATTTATCAAAAATATAATGTTCTCCTTATTATAGGTAGCATCCAATGCAAGGAACTTACACCACCATAAACAATGTTTCTCCACAATTTGTAATGCCTTCGTGGTTCGCGCATTTCTAACAGGAGTCTATTTGAATTAAAATAGGATGGATTAATGTCCTCACCCACGAAGTCCGAGATCCGGAGTAACAGTAGCAACAAATAAAGAACTTCCTGAGTGGAAAAGAGGTCTGAGTGATAGAAAGGTGGGGAAGTGACTAAGAGAGGAGTTGCCTAGCGGGTGGCATAAAAATTGACTCAGAAGTAGCACCAGATTAGTAGGAGAGAGGAGATTGTGCGTAATAATCTTACCAAAGTTGTCACAATCAAGACAGGTAAGAACTGTATCGCTGATGAATGTAAGGTGAAAAAAAGACGAATTAATGGTGAGGAAGTAGGTTGGAATGAACACGGACAATAAACTGCGCCGATGTAGTCGAAGATGGGAGGTGAAAAGGCGTACGCCAATGGGTTTTTTTCTAACTTGATTGGAAACGATTAATAAAATGCGTACGAAAATACAAAAGATTGATGACCCTGTAGAAATCGATTTGACAGGTAGAAAATTAGGCTGATAAATGCTTCCCTTATTCCGTAATTCCATGTCCATTAGTGGTACAATTTTCAGAATAAACATAATGAAAAATAGAGGCATAATCGTAAAAGCATGGTCTACCTCAAATGAAATATCAAATTCTTAGAAAAAATAAAAAAATAGTATTCAATGCACTTAAACCTCGCAAGTGACCAATGAGGTAAAAATATGTGCCGACTCAGTCTCCAAATTACACTCAACGAGGAGGAGGGTGGGGGGGGGGGGGGGGGGGGGGGGGGGTGCACAAACCGAAATTCTAGAGGATCATTCTCCTCCATAAAATGCTTGCATTTACTATTTCGAATTAAATGCCTTCGGTGATCAAATAAGCCAATTATCAATCAAATTTTGTCCAGAAAATAGAACACACCGCTTGTCGGTTAAGTTGAAATTAGATTTGGAGTTCCGCAGACACCTCGGAAGTTTTATTGCAAAATCTGCGCTCCTTCGTTTTACATGCAGCAGATGCTGGTGTGTTTCGGCATCAATCAACGAATCCATTTTTGCTATGGCATTTTCGTGAAATGTTCACTCAAAACTACTTTTCTGAGCTGCATATAGTTTGTCAACTACTTGGCTGGGTTCTAAAACATTTAAGCAACTTTGAAACGTGTAATAGCTCTTCCATCGTTGTGTATTTATTTAATTTAAATATATATCTATGTATGCATCAGCATAAAATGCGACGCATTGGTCAGGTTGTGCATCCGCTGGCCAAAAAAGAGCAAACAGTGTTTTCACAAACCACTACGCGAAGTCCCATTGTTTTGTAAAATAAATCTTCTCAAAAATGAGAGAAAAACTGGTTTGAATGTATTTCAAGTGCTAATTTTACACAAGAACTGTGCTATTTAGTTAATAAAGACCGAATGAAAAATTTTTTGTAGAATGTATGATTACGCAAATACACAGGGAAGTCGAACATTCATTTGAGAAAAACGGCAATCATAGCAGTTTAATCAATCAAATGTCAAAATAAGTGGTGCTATTAGCTCCACTTATTCTATTCGAGAAACCAAAACAAATGTCTCACAAACTGGGATTCAGGTAATAAATCTCAGAATATCACACCCATTTGCTACAATAAAAGCATTCTTGCCATTTCTATATTTGACTCATATCTACAAAAAGAGGATAAACTGATCATGAACTGCTTTGAGGTGTTAGCGATTCACGGAACAATCGTTAGCACAAACACTTATTTCCTCTCAAACTCAAACGCGGCACTTTTTCAGCGACAAAAACAGCGCAAAATCGTGAAAGCAAACTTAGGAAAAACACAAATGCAATGCATTGAAACACACACACACACGCACACACACGCGTACGCGCACCAAACAAATGCAATAACACCAAAGAGTAGTTATTGTGAATAGGAAAAGGTAGTGAAAGAGAGAGAGAGAGAGATAAGACGAAAAAAAGGTAAACGAATGATAACCAAAACAAAGCGGACTGTCAATAGAACACATTAAAACCTCGAACGAGCAAAAGACAAACATAATATCCTCTTGGTAAACAAGGAAAGTTGAGTCTTTGATAAAGTTTATTTGTCCAAATTAAATCCCGCTTTCACCTAGCGAGACGTGCCAGAAGTACAAACATGTCAACTATATATATAATTGGCAAACACAGAAATCGTTAATAACAGAATGATCTAGTGACCCCCCCCCCCCCCCCTCCTTCGTGGCATTTGTAAGAAATTATAAGATAACGCCAAGAGCACATGTATGAACCCTCGGTAGCATCAAGTGAACAAATGAAATTTAGCACAGTCTGACAAATAAGCGAAGTTAGTTAAATAACTAGCAACCAATTGGTAATTACAGTCGTTTTGGCTAAACTTTATTCATTTTTTATCCAACAGTATGGAAATCGTGGAATGTACAAAACCACTAGGGCTAATTAAAAGGAATATGTGGGGTGCGATGAAACATTCCAGAAAGTGCACACCTGCTACCAATCCCTTGCCAACCAAGCAGTACAGCGTTTACTGTACTCAAAATTATCATTTCCAGATAATTCTCTCCACAGGACAGCTCCTGTGTTCTCATCAATTAGGATTTACCCTAGTCAATGTTTGAGGCAGGGGTGTGCGATAGACTTACCTCCACATGGTGCATCCTGGGCAACGTATATTCATACGGCAAAAAAAGTCTATTAACTGGCATTCGACTTCTCACTTCAAACTACCATCACCTCACTCTATGCCATATTCGACTACTTTTACAGTACTCACCTCACCTTTTTTCTACTTTTGTGTCTGTCTGTCTGTCTCTTTTACATTTGTAAATCTCTCTTCTGCCCCCCCCCCTCTCGACTTTTTTCGATTCGATGTTCCTCCTCCCCTCTGTGAAGCTTGAAGTCAACTATAGGGCTAATGATAACCATC